CTGAACTCTTATTTGCTTAGCTTCTATTGATGATATTTCTAATCTTTTATCTTCGTCGGTAAACTCAACTGCATCTCAGTTTTCTGTTCCCATTTCCTGGATTGCGGGTCCTGATGCGCAAGATTCTTCTGTTTGCTACAGCGCACGCAGGCCTGGACGATGGCAAGCATTGATGTGCGCACGTCGTTGCAACAGCCACATCTCAACCCTCCCGACGCACACAATAATCAGAGGTGCCAAAATGATTTGGTGTTTGCAAGGGTCGCTTTTGTTGCATTTTCTACATGAGAAACCATCTCAGGCTGTAAGTTTGCACAGCCTGGACACTTCACTTGCATACCTTGTTAGTTACTGATTGGACTATACGTAATTATGTTCACTTGTATATAACAAGAGTTACTTTACCCAACTCCCAAGGAAATTGATAAAAGAAAAACATGTCTGCATACTAAATGTTCTTGCAAATCTTGTTCTCAGATTGTCAATTGAAGGCGACAACAAGATATTCTCATGTTCTTTTAGAATGTTTATTTGGGGATTAAAATCTTGATAATTAGATGTACTGCTTCGCTTCATATGTAATTTCCCCCATGCCTTCTAATCCGTTCAGATGACTAGCTATTATCCACATTAGGTTTTGAAATGCCTATGCTCTATCTAATTGGTCGTTCAATTAGTCAAATAGCCGTTTCATTTTTATTATGCTGACACAAGATCTGTCTCTGTTCTAAGATTTAGTTTCTGGTCACTTTTTGTGAGGTTTTTCATCAAAGATTCTCTTTAAACTCCTATTTTATACCTTTCTTTATGGTTCTTTGCATGGAAGTACTCCGTTTTCTTGCTTATATTATTCTTCTGCTATCATACAGATTTGGATGCACCTGCACAGTACTGATAGTACATGAAATTCATCAACCTGCTGTTGCCGCAACCAACCAAAATCTGCTCTAACAGAGTGATGAATACAATATTCATGCTAAGCTTTCTTCAAATTATGCTAATCGATCTTAAAAAGCTGGCTACTGGTGTTATTTGCTGCAATTTATTTCTGACAGCCAGGTAGTCTTGGAATGCTTTCGTGATGCAATTTATTTCTGACAGACAAGCTATGCTAATTGATCTTGAAAAGCTGGCTACTAGTGTTATCTGCTTTGTGGAAGGCTGTTAGCATTAAACTTTAGTGCTCGGCTATTCATCATAGTCTCATTCCCTAGATAATTAATGAGGCATGAAAAATAGGTGAAATTGCAGGAAAATTGAAGATGGGAACACGATTCATTTTGTCAATGAGAACATCTACTGTTACAGATACACTTTCTGTATTCTACCTATCGATGGCGTAATGTTTGAATATTAAGTCATTTCTTTTTGTCATTAGCAGGTGCTTTTATTTATGTTCATATTCCACGTATGCATGTGCTGCTCCGGTGGTGTTTTATTAGTTGATTGGCATATATGGATCTCTCCATGTTTATTAGTTGATCTCCAACCCCTACTCTGCTGTGGTGCTATGGGAGCAAGAAGAGCATGCATGCTTTCTCTCTACATCTAGGGTCCATATGGCCAGATTGACGGGCCTAAACTCTGGGTGAGCTCCTCCATGATCCGATCGATTTCTTACCTTGCTGGTTGTGTCATATGGCTATTAGCATTTGATTGATAAATATTTCAGTTTTACTGGATGATCTTGCTTTACCCATCTGCACCTTGAGTTGATCTGTTCTTTCATGTTTACTTACTTTTGCTACTATTCTTGTGCAGCTCAAAGGTTTCTTTCAAGAATCATGAGAGAACATTCAAGGAGTGGATTATTTGGAAATTAGAACCTTCAGATTTCTTAGAAGTGAGGTTACTTTCCAACTAGAATTATAGGCAAGCATTGGTCTTTAATTTGGAACCTGGAAACAGCCTCTTACAGAAATGTAGGGAAAGGCTGCGTACTATAGACCCAAAGTGGTCGGACCCTTCCCTGGACCCTGCGCAAGCGGGAGCTACATGCACCAGGTTGCCCTTTTTTTTATTGGTCTTTAATTTGGAAGTGATTATCATGTCTAAGAAGGGAGATCAACCCGGTTTGGTGTACATGATGTATGATCCCTTTTTTATTGATTTCTTATACTATGTTGACATGACTTATTTCACTCAATTTTCTGGTTTTTTTACACCATACTTCATGCGGTAGCCATACAAGATCATTTATTATACCATTGTACTAGCATATTACAAAATCATTATGCTAGATATAGATGGATTAACATGAAGATAATTTCTTTTGTTCTGTTTTTTCACTAGACATAGATGCTATTTATGCTTCTTTAGCAGTGACATCATAGTCAACTTGCATTTTCTGTCTTTTAGCTACACTACCAAATCCAGCAACTTTGATTTGTTCGTACCATTAGGCTGTAAGGAAATATTACTATATGTAACATGTTTTTTTCTTAAGCTACTGTTGTTGCTTCTCATGTCCGAAATATATTTCTTGATGCAGCTTCACTCGGATTTATGTGAATATAAGCGTAAGAGGTCTAGTGGCAATGCTACAAAATCATTGCAGGCGTGAGTATCCGGATTGCACTACTGCTGGCCGTTTCTTGCCATTGCCTACAACAGGCTTCTGACAAAGCCAAGTCATGGCCTCATTAGGCCCCTTTTTTCAGCCAAACTGAAAGCACTTCATGTTAGCTTGTATTCGCTTTTGGATTAACTACAATGCATTGTACCCATCCATGCTCCAGGGTGAGTCGTACATATCCTCGTTAGATGTACCAACGCCTATGATGGTTCTGAACTCTAATAATATAGTATCATATGTTTGATCGATGTTCTACAATTAGATCATAATGTTATAGCATATGCCCATATTGATGTACATGAGTTAGACTAAACATGGCAGCCGAATGTGCCGAGACAAGATAAATGCGCACAGGCCTTCTTGTAAAAGTTTTATACACTTTTCAAGAAAACGAACTTTGGTTAATCATTAAGCTATAACTTTTCTCATATTTGAACAAGGTTATTTGAGTTCTCCTAAAAAAGTGGCAATGTTAAAAAAACGGTTATTTTTTGTAACTTTTGCAAACTTTGTGGAAAGAAGCTGCAAATAACTGATTTCGCTGTCAATTCTACAGTCCAATGTTAATCTAGAGGGTGGAATCTTTAAACTTCGTTGATGCTTTCTTGTCCGTTTTGATCTAATATCTGTCTGATGTGGTTTGTATAAAACTTATGGTAGTATAATTAGTTTTGATTTTTTCTTGTCAGGATATAATAACATTGTAGATAGACGGAGACTGAATCAGTTCACACTACTTTGATGTCTATCGAGCCAATGGGACAACAAAGGTAGTTCTTTTGCACAAGTTGAAGAATGTTATTTCATACTGCACGATATGTCTGACTCCTTTCAGTGGGCATTCAATTAATTTGAGGCATCCTTTCCTAGGATCTTACCTTGATATTCCTCTATTTTCTCCAATTCGTCCCATGCTTTTTTAAGAACTGAAATAAATATAACCAGTGTTACAAATGTTTGCCGAGGAAAAGTCCTTGCAGAAAAGAAGAACCGGAAGCAGGTTATCTATCTTCACGAGCAAGTCGGCGTCTGTAAACCTTCACCAGAGCCATTCCAGCTCTTTCAGAGCCACAAGGTGAGCCGGAAGTCAGTGTATGTTTGAACGAGCACACTCGCTTCTCTCAGAATTCATATAATCATTAGAAGCTCAGAACCAGTCATGCCAAAGATATGAAGTGGAACTCATTTGTAGGCAAGGAAGTTGAGGAACCAAGACCCCAACGGCGCGGAGCAGTTTGCCGTCGAGAGGACTAGGGCTGCCATCAGGGACCTCTAGACCAAGCTCAACATCTCCCTCGTGCCTCCATCAACACCGTGTCTTGGAGGGTCGTCGCCGTCCGCGACGACGAGCTACTGCCGCAGCTTTGTCAGCCGCACGGTTAGAGGGAGGCATCAAGGGCCCGCCACCGCTGTCGGGGCCGACGTGCGTGTAATTTCTATTAATGTATCCTATGTTGCCAAACAACAACATGCTCCTGTCAATGCTATATCGTTGTGGGTATGGCATTTCAGTTTCTTCCTCAGGTGATATTCCAATATAATAAGTCCCATCAAGAATTGCATGTACATGTGCTGCTATCCTGATCCAAAAAGGAAAGTAAAAAGGGCGTTCATCTACCTGGCACCACCTGCCACGGGCGCGCCCCAACTACTAGTGGATAGAACGCTCCCTGGGTGGGCGTGTTTCCTGATTTTTGGAAGCGACAAAACCCACCGCTCTCTCTTCTCTTGGTTCGAAACTGTCGAGATGAACGGCCTGTGTGCGGACGCTGAATCGAGTGGAGCAGCGTTTAGGTTAAAACAAGGGGTTGTTTGGTTTCTAGCCACGCTTTAGCACATCTAACCTTAGGCAAGTTTGGCAAGTTTGATCAAGTTAGGTATGTGTTTGGTTCTAACCACATCTAAGGCAAGACTTTTTTATGAGGAGTGAACCCCACATGTCATAGACATAAAAAGTGGGGCATGATTTTCTTAGGCAAGCCTAAGTGTGGCTAACAATTTGAGCAATTCAACTAAGACAAGTGTGGCAAAAATCATGTGGATATGACAATGATAGTCACAATCCAAGCAACCCCCAAATGCACGAACGATTTTGGATACCACAACGCAAATAGTTCACCACGAAAGACATTTAAAGTTCAACATTCGGATCAAAGGGGAGTCAAAGAAGAGCAAATGCACATTACATTCCTTGCTCATCAAAGGCGCAACTACTGATAAAAATAAACTATGGCAGGCTTCCTCTCCATGACATGATCTTGATTGAGCAGTAGGTTCCCGTGCCCATTTCAGTCTTCCTATCCTGTCGGAAAACAAAGATTAGGCCACTTGTCGAACAGTAAATGCCAAGACCAGATGATGCGAATCAGAATAAAGAACAAAGGCCAGGTTGAAAATAATGTACCCGGTGATGAAGTGCTGATCGTCAAGCAGCTCCGTCCGGCCGAGGGTTTCCTTGCCCCTCTGGATCCTGGTCATTGTTCACCTCTTGCCCACCCTCGTTGTCATTTCCTCCTGCAAACCAAATGAAAAGCACCATTAGTCCTATATAATCGAACTAGGTTGACATGCAATAATTAAGTATGAAGTAGTACCACGAGTCAGACGCTCGTAAACTGCGAAGCCCATGACAATCAGGTAGACTATCACGGTCACCCAAACGCCAACATCTGTGGACAACTCGATCTTGTAACTTGAATCCTCATTGACGGGAGTTGGAGGGTAGTACATGTCCCTTGGTGATGCAGGAGGCGCCGGACTGGCGGGCGCTGGCAGGGATGGCGGAGACGTCGCAAAGAAATCATCGCATGCCTCGTACGGCTTGTCCTGGGAACGTCTCTTACCTCCACACTTCAGGTAAAGACTGAACACGGCCTGGGAGGTGGTGCCCGATAGCGCCAGCTGAGGCTCATCGACCACCAAGCAGAGGCAGCCGGCCATGTCCACTGTGGGCAGAACCGAGGAACAGCAGGCAGCGGCATTGGTTGGCTCAAACTCTTCCACACAGTTCTTGACAATAGCGGTGGCCAGCTGGGTGGCATTGCAACCTTCAACAGGAGAAGCAAAGGATTGTCAGCGTTGCGTCTAGGATCGAACGTGCAAATACTAGTACTAGGCTAACACGGACAGAGGATATTATAGTACGTAGTAGGAGTAGAAAATAAAGTCTCCCACAATAAGAAGACCAAAATGGCAGCGGAACAACTATATGCTATTCTGTCTGTATCTCAGACTTGGGAAGTGTATCCAACAGGCAAATTACCAAAACAGAGTGCCTGCGCACGGAGCCGAATCGCAACTCCGAAATACAGTAAATCCTAGTATTACGAGCACACGTAGTGTGCATATGGATGCAAAAGTGTGCCAAGAAACATGAAAACAAGGCCTTACAACCTTCAACGGAAGAAGCAAAGGATTGTCAGCGTTGCGTCTATGACTGAACATGCAAATCCTACTAGGCTAACACGGATAGAGGATACGACAAAATAGTCTCCCATAACAAGAACACCAATGACAGCGGAACAACTGTATGCTATTCTGTCTGTATCTTAACTTGGAAAGTATGGGACAGACAAGCTACCAAAACGAGAGGAATCGCAACTCCGAAATAAATCCTAGTATTAGGAGCACACTAATGTGATACTACAAGTCGATGCAAAAAGGGAATGTGCCAAGAAACATGAAAGCGAGGCCTTTTATACCTGATGGGTCCACGGAGGCCGAGATCGAAGCGGATGCCGAGGAGACAGAGACGAGCGCCGCCGCCGCGAGCAGCAACACCACCCAAGCTGCGGTCGCAAAAGCCCTCATCCTGCTGGTGACCCTGAGAAAGCAACAAGGACATGGAAGTCACGATTGAGTGCGGATCTAACCCCAGGAGAAAACGATAACTAAATCATAGCAACAGCCCGATCCGCCGCCTCTCCACCGCCGCTCGCCTCGCCTCGCCCGAGAGGAGCGCAAAACGCTCGCTCTTCACCGCCGCCAGCCGGCAGGCGCCTCGCCGGAGAGTGGCGCTTCTTCGCCGCCGCCAGCCGCGTGGCCAGCGCTACTCTCCGGCGAGGCGCCTGCCGGCTGGCGGCGGTGACGAAGTGCCCCACCGAGCGAGGCCCTCTGCAGCGAGACGAGCGCGCCGACGGCTCGGGGGTCAAGCTGACAAGCCGCGCGCGACAAGAGTAGGGCGAGGACGCGGTTGCCTACCTGGAGGGATCGCACCGGGCTGCTGCTTCCGGTCGCTGCTGCCCCGCCGGTGCGGAGGAGGAGGCGGGTTTGGTGCTTGGGCTGGCTGATGGAACGGGTGGTGTGGAGGAGAGCGATGCGGAAACCGGTGCGTCCTCTTATAGACTCGGGGCAAGGGGAGCGTGGTGGCGGCGGGCGGGCGGGCTGGCGCCTGCTGTTGGTGGGGTGGAAGGGAACAGGGGGGATGGAGGAAGGGAACAGGGGAGGGAACGGTCCGACTCCGATCACTGAATACCCCGCAAAAGCAAAAGAAAGGAGTCGCTGCGTTGCGCAGCGACAGACTTTTGACATCGTGTGCCAGACTGCGACTCTTTTCATTTGAATTAGTAGTACTGCGGACTGTTGTGGTTTGAATGATTGGTATAGAAATCCGTTTCCGACTTGTTATGTTTAATAGCAACTCCAACGGGCCAACTCAAATGGACGGAGATTTCGTCCGTTTTTTATTTGTTTGAGTCGGTCAGGCGGACACGGACATTCGCTTCTGCGTTTTGGTTGGCATACGCGTTAAACGCTCGCCCGACCCATTTTGACGGCGCCGACAAAAAAAATTGTACGTGCATATTTAAAATGAAAACAACTTAATTAAACATTAAGCCGGCGAGAATTCACGCGTCCACATTAGCATTAAAAGAAAATTAAAACAACCTAAGAGCAATTCCAATGGGCGATCCATTTCGTCCACCGCCGTCCGTTTGGGTCGGCGGGATAGAAAAGTCGGCCCAACGCGTCGACCCAAACGAGCGTGTGTCCGCTTTTCGTCCGCGGGCGACCCATTCCCGGCCCATTTTTGAGCCGGATTTGCGTCGGCGCGGATACGCGGCGGACGTGCGCACGCTCGTCTTCTCCTTTCCCCGGGCCCGCTGGTCGGTGGCTCATTGGCCTCCCCACCCCCAGCCAACAGCAACCCTCGCCCGCCTCCTTTGTCGCCGCCGCCGCCGCCCTTTTTTGCCAGCAATTGTCAGCTGCTGCCGCCTCCACATCCGCCCAGCAACGCCGCTCACTCCCCCCGTCGCCCCGCCACCGCCGTCTTGCCGCCAAGGAGCAAACTGTTTCCCACCGCCGCTCCCCCAACCGCACAGCCGCCCGCGACCAAGAGGCCGCCTCGCCGCCCCAGCCAGATCCTCACCGGCACGCTCGTCGGATGCCGGCCACTCATTGGACGACGGCAGGGCAGCTAGCTGGTCCATGCGCGCCGTGACTCCCCTCGCCGGTCGTCTCCTTTTTCGACGCCCGCAAGCTGTTCGACAGTTTGCCAAGGTACAAAAATGGACTCCGCCGACGAGTTCTTTTTCCATAATTTCCTTTGCGACTCCGATGATTCGTCCTCCGACGATAAGGAGGAGATATTGGCTGCCGTGTTGGTCCATCACCACCTCAACAGCCAGCGGCCGTTGTTTCGTGGCTCCATTCCGGGCCACCTTCCGGCGTTGAATCGCAATCGAGTGAGCGGGCATTTCCTTCTTTGGAAGGACTACTTTGATACAACAAACCCGTTGTTCAAACGTCAAAAATTCCACCGCCGTTTCCGTATGAGTAGGCATCTTTTCAACTGTATTAGAGAGGAGGTGGTCGGCTATGATGACTATTTCGAGTGCAAAGAGGATGCCGTATGATGACTATGGTGGTCCTCTTATCAGAAATGCACTGTCACCATCCGGATGCTTGCATACGGAGTGCCTGGTGATCTCATTGACGACTACATCCGTATGAGTGAGTCTACATGCCTAGAGTCCCTGTATAAGTTCTGCAAGGCTGTTATTGTTGTGTTTGGCCCTGAGTACTTGAGAGAGCCGACAGCTGAAGATACAACCCGTTTGTTGGCGATGAATGCCGGAAGGGGCTTCCCAGGGATGCTTGGCAGTATAGATTGCATGCACTAGGAGTGGAAGAATTGTGCTTCAGCTTGGCAATGGCAGTATAAGGGACATGTCAGGGCTTGTGATACGTCTCCATCGTATCTACTTTTCCAAACACTTTTGCCCTTGTTTTGGACTCTAACTTGCATGATTTGAATGGAACTAACCCGGACTGACGTTGTTTTCAGCAGAATTGCCATGGTGTTATTTTTGTGTAGAAATAAAAGTTCTCGGAATGACCTGAAACTTCATGGAGAATATTTTTGAAATATATAAAAAATACTGACGAAAGAATCAAGGCCAGGGGGCCCACACCCTGTCCACGAGGGTGGGGGCACGCCTCCCTGCCTCATGGGCCCCCTGGTGCTCCACCGACCTCAACTCCAACTCCATATATTCACGTTCGAGGAGAAAAAATTAGAGAGAAGGATGCATCGCGTTTTACGATACGGAGCCGCCGCCAAGCCCTAAACTCTCTCGGGAGGGCTGATTTGGAGTCCGTTCGGGGCTCCGGAGAGGGGAATCCGTCGCCGTCGTCATCATCAACCTTCCTCCATCACCAATTTCATGATGCTCACCGCCGTGTGTCAGTAATTCCATCGTAGGCTTGCTGGACGGTGATGGGTTGGATGAGTATTATCATGTAATCGAGTTAGTTTTGTTAGGGTTTGATCCCTAGTATCCACTATGTTCTGAGATTGATGTTGCTATGACTTTGCTATGCTTAATGCTTGTCACTAGGGCCTGAGTGCCATGAATTCAGATCTTAACCTATTATGTTTTCATGAATATATGTGAGTTCTTGATCCTATCTTGCAAGTCAGTAGTCACCTACTATGTGTTATGATCCGGCAACCCCGAAGTAACAATAATCGGGACCACTCCCAGTGATGACCGTAGTTTGAGGAGTTCATGTATTCACTATGTGTTAATGCTTTGGTCCGGTACTCTATTAAAAGGAGGCCTTAATATCCCTTAGTTTCCAATAGAACCCTGCTGCCATGAGAGGGTAGGACAAAAGATGTCATGCAAGTTCTTTTCCATAAGCATGTATGACTATATTCGGAATACATGCCTACATTACATTGATGAACTGGAGCTAGTTCTGTGTCACCCTATGTTATAACTGTTGCATGAGTAATCGCATCCGACATAATTATCCATCACTGATCCAATGACTACAAGCTTTTCACATATTGCTCTTTGCTTAGTTACTTTTCCGTTGCCACTGTTACAATTACTACAAAACTGCTACTGTTACCTTTGCCACCGTTACCGTTACTTCCATACTACTTTGCTACTAAATACTTTGCTACAGATATTAAGTTATCCAGGTTTGGTTGAATTGACAACTCAGCTGCTAATACTTGAGAATATTCTTTGGCTCCCCTTGTGTCAAATCAATAAATTTGGGTTGAATACTTTACCCTCGAAAACTGTTGTGATCCCCTATACTTATGGGTTATCAAGACTATTTTCTGGCGCCATTGCCGGGGAGCATTGCTCTATTCTTTGAGTCACTTTGGATTTATATCTGCTGGTCACTATGAGGAACTTGAAAGACGAGAAAACCAAAATTTATCCCTCAACTACGAGGGGAGGTAAGGAACTGCCATCTAGCTCTGCACTTGATTCACCTTCTGTTTTGAGTAAACTTGCGACACCTAAACCTACTCCTGCTATTAATTCTGATATGTCGCATGTTATTGATGATGCCACTTCTGCTTTGCATGATACTTATGATGAAACTACTTCTATGCTTGATGCTACTGTGCCACTAGGTGAATTTCTTGATGAACAACTTGCTAGGGCTAGAGAGAATGAAATTATTGAAACTGATAATATTGATGAAGGTGATGATGAAGATTCTCCTCCTAGATATGAATTGCCTGTTGTGCCTGAGGGCTATGTTATGGATGAAGAAACTGCTAGAGACTTTCTTGCTTGCAATGATAGGAATGATCTTAAGAAATTATTAGCTAAGTTGAAAGAAAAGTCTTTGAATGCTAGAATGAAATATGACCCTGCTTTTGCTACTTCACCTATCTGTATTACTGATAAGGATTATGATTTCTCTGTCGATCCTGAGATAATTACTTTGGTTGAATCTGATCCTTTTTATGGCTATGAATCTGAAACTGTTGTGACACATCTTATTAAATTAAATGATATAGCCACCCTATTCACTAATGATGAGAAAACTCGCTACTACTATATCCTTAAATTATTTCCGTTCTCATTAAAGGGTGATGCTAAGACATGGTTTAATTCTCTTGATCATGGTTGTGTGCGTAGTCCCCAGGATATGATTGATTACTTCTCTGCTAAATATTTCCCCGCTCATAAGAAACAAGCTGCTTTAAGGGAAATATATATTTTTGTGCAAATTGAAGAAGAGAGTCTCCCACAAGCTTGGGGGAGGCTTCTCCAATTACTTAAATCTTCGCCTGATCATCCTCTCAAAAAAATGAAATACTTGATATCTTTTATAATGGCCTAACCGATGCTTCTAGAGACCACCTGGATAGTTGTGCTGGTTGTGTTTTCAGGGAAAGAACAATTGATCAAGCTGAATTTCTATTGAATAATATGTTGACTAATGAAAATAATTGGACACTTGCTGAACCCACTCATAAGCCAACTCTAAAGAAAAGGGGTATTCTATTTCTCAGTCCTGAAGATATGCAAGAGGCAAAGAAATCTATGAAAGAA